AATGAGTGAAATGCGGGGGGTGGTAGCGATCGGAGTGTGTGTGTGTGTCGGGCGGGTGGGGGACACTGTCTGGTCTCCTTTCAGCTCGCTCTCCCTCTGCAAAGACTGCAACAGTCCGGACTCCACTTCGGGAACATATCCACAAACTATCCAGCCACGAACTGCGAGGCACAGGATGGAGAAAAGTTGAAGACACCCGCCTTCATCACCTCCACCCCTGGAGACCCCCCTCCCCTCCCCCAAAAAAACAGCAAAGCCAATCCCTCCGGGCCGACCTCGTCTGTCTCTCTCTCTCTCTCCTCTCTCTTAAAGGGTCGATCTAGCTAGGAATCGGCCGAAACAGCCGCTGCGTCTGCGGGAGGAGAGCGGCAGGGCTGAGGCTGGGGCAGCGGCAGAAGAAGAGGCGAGGCTCCCATGTGCATGGCTTGGACTTCGGACTGACCTTGCTGTGTTTTCCCCCCTTCTTTCTCCTCTCGATCTTTCCTTCCGCGCAGCAAGGCGGCCGCAGGGATTCCTCCTGTTGGTGCCTCTGATGCCGCCGCCGCCGCCGGATGCCCGGGAGACCCCCCCTCCGGGTGCTGTCCAGTCCCCCTTGGTGCTGAAATCACGCCCCAGTCGAACGCCCGGCTGCCGAACTAATGGCGCCGCGCAAATTCTGCAACCGCTGCGTTTTTGCTCTGTCCATTTTTCTCCCTTGCCGCGTTCCCTTGCGCTCGCTCGCTTTCGCTGGCTCTCCCCGACTCGCTCGCTTCCTCCCTCGCGCGCTCGCTCGCTCGCTCTCGCCGCCTCGGCTTCTCAGCTCGGTCCGCTTCGTCCCCCGCACGCCTTCACGCAGCCCGAGCCGGCGTCGTGCCGAGGTTCTGCTCGCTTGCCAGCCGGGCGCTCACTGGAAGATCGCCGAGCCCCTCGGCTGAGCCGCAGTGGCAGAAATCCATCTGCGGAGGGAAGGCTGGGGAAGGCGCGGGGGAGCCCAGGAGCGCGCTGAAGGAGTCGGGGGGGGGGAGGGGTGCTCCTTCACAGTAAATTTCCACACCCCCGCACGCCTTCACGCAGCCCGAGCCGGCGTCGTGCCGAGGTTCTGCTCGCTTGCCAGCCGGGCGCTCACTGGAAGATCGCCGAGCCCCTCGGCTGAGCCGCAGTGGCAGAAATCCATCTGCGGAGGGAAGGCTGGGGAAGGCGCGGGGGAGCCCAGGAGCGCGCTGAAGGAGTCGGGGGGAGGGAGGGAGAGAGGAGGAGGAGGAGGAGGAAGAGGAGGAGAGAGGAGAGGTTTAGAAGCGGGATGGTGGGGGGATAAAAATCGATCCCGATTCAGGACAAACGTCGAAGGCAGTCCTGGCGCCCAAGCGGTCTGTTGAAGCCCTCCCTCCCTCCAACGGATCCTTTCAGTTCTCCCTGTTTAATCATGGAAAGTTGCACATTGCCTGACTGGCTGACCCCCTCCCTTTTCCTCCTTCCCTCCTTCCCTCCCTCGCCGCGCAGGCGTCACACCTGGATCCGACTCGATTCTCCGGCGAAGGCAGGGCTTGGGAGAGCGGCAAGAGCCTCCTTCAGCTGTCCCGGCGTGGCTTGCTTCGAATTAGTGTCAGGGTGTCAAGCGCCTAGCGAGCGGAGGTAATTATACGGCACGCCATCTTTCTCACCCCCCCCCTCCGCCGCCCCTTCGCTGGCTGCCTGCCTCCCTCGATCTGCAGTCGGGAGCGGGCGCCGCGCCGTATTGGGTGTCTGTTTTCGCTCGCGTCTTTCTTCCGCTTTCTTCCCTTTTACTGTTATTCTCTCCCTCCTCCGGTGAGCGAGTGAACGGATTACGCTTCGTTTCGACCCTACCGGAGATGTTCGTTCCGGTGCGGGAGAGCCTTCATTTTCTCCTCTCCATCCGCTCCAGAAGGGGCTGGGAATGTCGGGCGGGGGGAGCGGGTGTTGGGAATCAGAGGGAAATCAGACTGATTTCAAACCGACTTCCACGGAGCTCCTGCTTTTCAAGGGGGGGGGGAATCATAAGGGGGGCACCCTTCAAATCTGGCCAAAAGTCTACCCTCTCGCCCCGCTCTTCTTTTTCTTTGGTTTAAATTTCTGCCTAAAGTGACGATCGCTGTTGATGGAGATGTGAAGCGGCAGGGTAGGGGAGAGGAAGGAGGAAGGGGGGGGGAGAGGGAAGATGGACTTTCAAAGTGCTACTGGAGATCGTTCCTCAGCCTAGTGGGGGAAACATCTGCATTGGCTGGAGAGCTTTGCGCGACCTCCGCCAGCCCATAACCAGTTGCATCTCCTCTGATGCAGCGAAGCAAGCCCAGCTCTCCACCTTCCCTCCCGCCAGCTTGTTTTGCGCTAAAAGAGACCCTGAAGAAGGCTGCGGTGGCGGGTCACACGCCTCCCCATCCGCGGCTACATTATCTCCCAGGTTTGCACGTCTGCCCGTCCCACCGTCAGGCTGGTTCCTCCGGTGGTGAACTCTGCATCCAACCGGTAGGAATGGAGTGTGGCCGCGAGCGCGCGGGAGATCCAGGGTGTTATGTGCGGAGAAAGTCCGGGAGCCATTTGAAAACTCCTTCTTCTTGTTCTTCTCCTCCTTCTTCTCTACCCGCCCCCCACACCAGCACTTTTAAAAGCCAAGCCTCTTTGCAGATCTTGAAGGCAGACACCCACCGCCTCTTCCGGAGCTTGACCGAATGGGTTGCAAAAGGCAAGCGCGCCACCGCTGCTTGCCACCATTTCGGGCGAGAGTAGATGGAGGGGGGGGGCAGAGAAAATCGGAATGACGTTGAGATTGGCAGTCGTCGCTCCCCTCCTGAGAACGGGGGAAGGGGACACACACAAACACGCACGCACGCGCGCGAAAGAACCAACGCGTGTCAAGTTGGGGGGGAATCCCTTAAAGGGACAATAACCGCAACCCCACACACGTGGCTACTCAAGAGTTAAGTGTCATCAGGGTACAAGAGTGTAGGGTAAAATAAGGAAAAGGAAGCCTGTCGCTAGGGTAAGGTTAAGGATTCATTTTATTTGTCCTGGATGATGACTTTAAAAAAATAATAATAATACTCCCTGAACTTGTTTTTGCAAGCTGAGGGTTGAAGAGAGCTTCAGAAGACAAAGTGCAGCCTCTGGAGAGTGTGAGGCCATGAGAGCAGCGTGGAAAGGGAGGATGGCACCTAAGAAGGTGCACAGAGATAATGACAAAAGGGGGAGGGAGGAAAAAGGATACATTTGCTCAAGGTAGATCCAGGAAGCAATTTCTTCAAGGGTTTGGTGAACATTGTCTCCTCATCAGAGAAGAAAGCAGTGAACTTGTATGAGAGATCCCACCTCAATGTGGTCAGAGTGGGTGGGCGTTATTAAACAGGCAGTTCTGGGGGTAAAAACACACACACTATAACTTCAGAGGCTGTCTGATGAGGGGGATCTGTCTTGTACAACCCTTGCTCCCTTGCTCATTTTCTGCATGTGAGGATTCCTCGGCTTCCAAGGCACTTTGTTCACGCAAGACATGTTGCTCCCTGAAGCTGTGCGGCCTCCAAGAGTCTCCTGCACCCCATCCTGCAAAGAAAAGACATTGCAGAAAATCTTTCCCTGCCATCCAAGCCCTAGTTCATGACTTAAGGGTCCCAGCCTTGCAGTGATGCTTGAAGCAGGGGGCCACACCTATCTGCATGGCTGGGCCAACCCAAGCTAAAGGAACTGCATGTTCTGCAGAAAAGTGAAGTTGCAGATTAATTGGGAGCTGTTGGATGCTTAAGTGTAAAAGGAAGCAGAGGGGGTGTGTGATATTGGATGTGTGTGTGTGTGTGTGTGTGTGTGTGTGTGTGTGTGTGTGTGTGTGTGTGTGTGAAAAAGCTGCTGGGGCTTTGAGATGAGTGGCTGCCCTAGTAACATACTTCCAACCTAGAGGTGAATGATTGAATAGAGAATTAATCACTGTGGGTTTCTTTTGTAGAAGGGCTTTTGTAATACAGCACTAGCAATTTCCATTTTCAAACAAGCATTGCTCTGCAGGCCTCTTCCCTCTTTAACATCCCACAGTATTTTCAATTAGATCCCTGTCCATTCCATTCTCCATCCTGCCCGACTCTACCATTAGAAAGAGTGGACCAATATGATATGCCATGGCATCAGAATGCTAGTTATTTGGTTAATTGTGCTTTTATTGCCTAGGATGTTTACCAGCTTTAGGCACTATATACCCTAACTTGTATGCTGCTGGAGGGTGGGTGGGGGAAACATCATTTTCTGTTCTCAGGCAGCAAATTATCTTGGGCTGAACCTGTTCTTTACTGGTATAGACGTCTACAGATAAAAATCAGAGGGACATATATGTTTTCTTTATTTACTGGATTTGGATTAAAACAAACCAATCAACAGGAGCACAAAGAGCTTTCTGTTTCTTCCTATACAAAGTGCACTCATTCATTTTCCTGGCATCTTCCTCCCAATGACCCAGATCCCTAAAATCACATTTATAAAATCCCATTATTAACATTTCTCATTATTAGTAACATTCCTATATGGGCAAGCTACATTATACTTTAAGCAAAAAAGGATCACACAGAAATGTCATTCATGTGTGATTTTTCATTACAAGAGATTTCTCTGACAAGAATTTAATTTAAATCAGGAGTTGGCAAAACTCAGCTTCCATATCTTTGGAATCTATTTTTAATAGTTGCAAAGTGAGATCAGAGATGAATGTTTTTGATCGAGAATGCATTTTATCACTACCAAAGAGATGTGCCAGTTGTACATTTCCAGGATTAGGGAGCAGAAAAAGTGGAAGTTCTACATTTTGTGGACTCGGGTGTCTTTTTTCTTCCACCTGTGTTGTCTATTAAATCTGCTGTGTGCAGCATAAAAGTTTTTATC